CTTGATATTCACATTTAAGACATGCATCCTTAATGTGTAAGATGAAGGTCTAATTCAATGCAATTAAGAAATACTTGTGTGTAACTGTAACCATCATGTCTAATACACATAGCCTACATTCATTCATGTTTATGACTGTTTTCTGAAGGTATGAAGCAGAAGTATTAAACAAATGAATTATTCTTAGATGTGGTGATGGAGCATTTATCAAAATTATAGGTTGTTTTAATAACGTGCTTAAATTATCAACAGTATAAATTGACTTCACATATAATAAGAATTTGCTGTTTAGTTGTGATGTGGTGGCTCTTAAAAGAGCCTTTGTGTTTGTTGAGGTCAGTATTGGGTGTCTACTTCTTGGGCCTTCTCGGTCTTCTTGGGCAGGAGAACAGCCTGGATGTTGGGCAGCACTCCTCCCTGAGCGATGGTGACTCCTCCGAGCAGCTTGTTGAGCTCCTCGTCGTTGCGGACAGCCAGCTGCAGGTGACGGGGGATGATACGGGTCTTCTTGTTGTCACGGGCAGCGTTACCGGCCAACTCCAGGATCTCAGCGGTCAGGTACTCGAGCACAGCCGCCAGGTAGACGGGGGCTCCGGCACCAACACGCTGGGCATAGTTTCCTTTACGCAGCAGCCTGTGGACACGACCGACTGGGAACTGGAGCCCGGCACGGGAGGAGCGGGTCTTTGCCTTTGCTCTGGCTTTTCCGCCGGTTTTGCCTCTTCCTGACATGGTGTAGGTTAATCTCTAGAGGACTGAGAGAAATGTGCTCTAGGCGGACATGCCCTCTATTATATGTCCGCGGAGCGCGCGCGTTTTCCTGCCCCTCCAACCAGTAAAGAGGCTTCGAGCAGCGCAGAGGAGGGCGGCCCACTCGCAGCTTCCTCCGCGATTTGAAAAACGTTTCTCCAATGAGCAGCGCGAGATTCGAGGGGGCTCGCTCCCCCCTGCGGGACTGAGCTCCAGACGCGGCTTTGTCACCAATCAGAGGCTAGAGGTCTGAAGCAGCGTCACTCGGTATCCGCGCACTCGGTTTAAAGCAGCTCGTCTCCGTCTCTGACACATTTTTCTTCTTAACCATGGCAAGAACTAAGCAGAACTAAGCAGACCGCTCGTAAGTCCACAGGAGGCAAAGCCCCCAGGAAGCAGCTGGCCACCAAGGCTGCCCGTAAGAGCGCCCCGGCCACCGGCGGCGTCAAGAAGCCCCATCGTTACAGGCCCGGTACCGTGGCTCTCAGAGAGATCCGTCGTTACCAGAAATCCACCGAGCTGCTCATCCGCAAGCTGCCCTTCCAGCGTCTGGTCCGTGAGATCGCTCAGGACTTCAAGACCGACCTGCGCTTCCAGAGCTCCGCTGTCATGGCTCTGCAGGAGGCCAGCGAGGCTTACCTGGTCGGTCTCTTCGAGGACACCAACCTCTGCGCCATCCACGCCAAGAGGGTCACCATCATGCCCAAAGACATCCAGCTGGCCAGAAGGATCCGCGGAGAGAGAGCTTAATCTGTCTACTGCTCCAAAACAACCACAACGGCTCTTTTAAGAGCCACCACTTTTCACTAAAGACATATTCCTGTTCTGTCTCTACTTTAAAGTGATGTCTTTATTATTTCATTTTTAGTCTCATGTTGTCAACGAATTGGTTCATACAATACTGAAACCACAGTAAAATTACAACTCTGAAAGAAAATCAATAGAAACCATGGAGAGCACACCCATATTACAAAGTCATTACCATAATACACACTACATGTATATTGTGTTTAATTTATTCTCCATTTCTAATTGAATTTGAGGAGTTATTCAAATTAATCACCAGAGTTTGTCAGCTAGATAAAAAGTACACATGTATATTTAATGTGTATTATCTCATAAAGAGACATTGTCAATATTTAATCTCTTGTGTTTCTTGAGAGGTGCAGATTTCTAGAATCATCGTTCAGCTAAAAGAACTTCAGTAAATCACCAGCACACACTATGAACTCAGGAATCACTTCACTATAGACTTTAAAATAAATAAATAAATAATTGAATAATTGAATCCCATAAAAACATTGAAGTTGACACCATTACTTCTACAGGCCTTGAAGTTTGGATCACAAACGGGTTCACTGACGACCACTTTGAATAAATATAAGTGATTCATAAAGACGGTTAAGATGCTACAGGATGCTCCTCATACAGATCCATATCATTTTACTGATGATAAAATACTAACTTTAGTTATAGCCTGTAGATTAAAGGATACTGTACCTGATATTATAAACAATGATGAATGCAGGTTAAGATCCACCACATTAGTTTAATTATCTTTAAAGAAGCACTATGGGAACAAATAATGACCTCTAAAGACACACACACACACACACACACACACACACACACACACACACACACACACACACACACACACACACACACACACACACACACACACACACACACCACAACAATTTGTAAAAAAACAAATCTAGTTAAAAAAGTGATTGATGACTGAGGAAACACGCTGTCCAAGGTGCTGAAATGATCTCTGCTGCAGCATGTTGTGTCATTTGATTAGAAACAGAATAAAAAGAGTAATAATCTTCCTTCAACTCTGTGTGAATGATTTCAAGATGTTGAATGTTTTCTTCACCTCCTGCTCAATGTGGAGCTCAGTCAGTCTAACAAGAGTCACACAGCAGCTGCTGGTCAGAGGGCGGCGCTAATGCTTCATAAAAATGAACAATGACATATTCATTGTGTCCCTGTTAGATAAAAAATGAATATTAATTTAAAGTCTTGGGACGACTTAAGTGGAGGTGAATGTGATTGTGATTGTTCCAATACATGTCGGAGGTATTCTGAGCGGATTGTTCTGATGACAGTCAGACATCCTGAACATTAGTGTGAAAATGAAACAAAATGAACAATAACAGATACATTTTTTCTCATTGAATGAGCTCATTGCTTATGTCCATGTTTAATAAATCAGAGAAGAAGGATGAAGTGGTGCAGGATGATTAAAAGTAAACTACGTTGAGTCTGACTGAACAAACCTATTTTATAATTGTGAGAGTATTTTACAGTGTTTGCTATGACATTTTTTCAATACTTCTAACAATTTTCCTAAACTCTTAACACAGTTAGCACAACATTACAACAACCAAGGCCAGAACAATGGATTTTGTTGTTTTTATTGTAGATTGAAACACAAATATATCCCCTGTATTTATTCCCAATGCTCCTGAGAAACAGCTGATTTAAGTTATGCTAATAGATCAATCACAACTGATTCCCACATAGGAAACACACTCAGGTGTATAGAGTAAAAAAATGACCTCTCTGGGCTGATCTTGTGTGGAAAAGAAACAATATAGAGCAACACAAAGAAAGTAAGAAAAATACCTGCACGAAGGAGAGAAAGACAAGTACCAGGACAAGGGAGAGGAAAGCCTGGATGAGGAGAAGGTAGCGGTAGAGGAGTTAGAATACATGGTGGGGTAACTGATGAAATAAGAGCTTCTATCATAGACCATGTCATAAACCAGGGGCTATCATACAGAGTGGCTGGTGAACGAGGACAGCCAAATCTCAGCCGGGTCACAGTGGTATCCATTGTCCGGATTTTTCAACAAATCAACAGGTAGGATATTTTATAATTGCTTTTCCTACAGCAAAGTGTAAATAATTGAACCATGTTTTACTGTAAATGTAATCCTCCGGTTTCTAATATATAACTGTATTTTGTCTCTCTAAGGATTCAACGTCTACCTCCCTCAGGGGGCAGAGGAAAGCCCCTAAATGAGGAACAGGAACTTGCCATTATCAACATGCTGATTTCTGTCTCTGGCTTCTTTTTTTCATAAACCGTACATTATATAAAGCTACTACGATATGGGTCATTCCTTTTTTGTTTTGAATTCCTGCAGCAAAATGAACAAAATACATGTGTTTACTAAACCCAACAAAACAGAAATGTAGAGAGGCTTCAAGAGAAAACACAATCTATGATCAATATGTTGTAATGTACTGTCTATAAGGGCAGACCTGACACGTGTGAAGTCATGCAGTTTCTGTTATTCCATCTGATGTTAGTGTTTTTATGACATTGTGCAATGTCCTGTTGGAAGACAACATGTGTTAGTGTCTTGGTGGACATGGTGTGTTGTGTTTGTGTATTATTGTATTTTAAAAATGAGTGTTAGAGTTTAGTTTGCAATGGGTTTGGAACATGATATCATGATGAATCCAAATTACAGAAACTGTCTACATGTCATCAACAGCTTCTAACTGAAGGAGACAAAATAAAACACTTCTTATTATGAATACTCAGTAACCAGGCTGTTCTGGAGAATCTGGAGGATTTTACTGACAATCAAATGAATAGTTCAATTAATTTGGTTTCCTTAAGAATTCATTTTATTCTAAATAAAAACCAACATTTCAACAGACAATTAACCTCTTTACAGTATAAATGATCAATGGTCAATTTCAAATCCTGGATACAAATTAAATAAATCTCACGTACGCTTAACAGTATTCATCATCACTGCATGTAAAATGATTTTACACTTTTAAATCTAATTAACAATAAGAAAGCTACAAATACTGTAAACCTGATTCAATATTTATTTGAAGAGGGAAAATGTTAATGCTGTCTAATTTGTGTTTTGTTTATTAAACAGCTCGTGCTGCAGCTCCTCGGAGTGATCAACGGTGGTCGCTACTTTCTAAACCCTAAAGGACCTCAGACCTCAGCGCCGGTCACATGACTGAAAGCTAAGAATTGCTCAGTGGGTCACTCAGCCAATCCTGTGAGAGCAACAGCACATGGCGTTTGCTTCAACACCACATATATACTGCTTTCTGACACTCAGTTCAGTATCAGTTTTTGAGATCACCACTCAGAAAACATGCCTGAAACCGTGAAAGCGCCCAAGAAGGGCTCAAAGAAAGCCGTCTCTAAGGCCACCAAGACCGGAAAGAAGAGGAGAAAGTCCAGGAAGGAGAGCTATGCCATCTACGTCTACAAAGTCCTGAAGCAGGTCCACCCCGACACCGGTATCTCCTCCAAGGCTATGGGCATCATGAACTCGTTCGTGAGCGACATCTTTGAGCGCATCGCCGGGGAGTCCTCCCGTCTGGCTCAATACAACAAGCGCTCCACCATCACCTCCAGGGAGATCCAGACCGCTGTCCGCCTGCTGCTGCCCGGTGAGCTGGCTAAACACGCCGTGTCTGAGGGCACCAAGGCTGTGACCAAGTACACCAGCTCCAAGTAAACCCGCTGATAACCAGCAACAAAACGGTCCTTTTAAGGGCCACCCAACACTTTCTGAGAGCTGAAATCCTGAATGTCCTATCACATCAATAATCGATAATATCTGCATATGTGGCCCAGTAATTTATTATCGAGATATTCATTTTTGTCAAAAGATAATTCATATTTTAAGTGGGATGACTCACTATACCTTTTATTATTATTATTCACATTTATTGATGTGAGACAGGACAAATGTGAGAAAGATGTTGTGTAGTTGTCACCTTAAAAATCCAGAAAAGACTACAAGTTCCAGCCTTGGTTATGTCTAATCATTATCTACACTAAATTAAGGGTTGAACGGAAATAATTAATAATGAAATCAGGCTTAATCAATAATTTTCTCAAGTTAAACATGTCCGTTAAAAGTTGTATTCACCTAATGACTGAGCGTTCATTGACTGACAATGAGCTACTTAGATGTTGAAATTTCTGAGTATATATATACATACAAAACTAACCCTAATCAGCTGTATAATGGAAAAAAGCCTATGTCTCTGCTATCTGGATGTATTTTGTCAATAATTGTTTCTACACAATAATTAATCATATCAAGTCAGCTAAATCGTTAGACAGGACATTTAAGGGTGCTTAAAAGTCTTCTAGTATTTCTCCTCTATGGGCATGAGAATGTTGCAGAGAGTATTTTCTAGTACTTAAAACGTTTAATAGCTGATTATTCCTGTGTTGAAGCAGCAAATGGATGAGAGATAAAGACATGCGTGTGTAGGTTATTAGTTTAAGTTAATTAATCGTACATACACTAATTTTAAGCTCAGTTTATTTAAGGTGAGATTTTTTCCCTTTTATGGTTTATGATATTAGGCTTATATCATTCTGTTTTCAACATTATCTAGTAAATATGGAAAAACTCTTAGAGAAGTGTGTGGCTCTTAAAAGAGCCTTTGGGTTTCAGTATGAGTGGTCAGGATCAGGTTTAACCTCCGAAGCCGTACAGAGTGCGTCCCTGTCTCTTCAGAGCGTAAACCACATCCATGGCGGTGACGGTCTTCCTCTTGCATGCTCGGTGTAGGTGACGGCATCACGGATAACGTTCTCCAGGAAGACCTTCAACACACCACGGGTCTCCTCGTAGATGAGACCAGAGATACGTTTGACTCCACCACGACGAGCCAGACGGCGGATAGCGGGCTTGGTGATTCCCTGGATGTTATCACGGAGGACTTTACGGTGACGCTTAGCGCCTCCTTTACCGAGTCCTTTACCTCCCTTTCCTCTTCCAGACATGT